CTCCCCGCTGGTTTGCCCCCCCTTGGGCTTTTGGCTTCCCCGTTTGCTGTTTCCCCGCCCCCCGGTGTCCCCCCGGCCTCCGTCTCTCGTGCCTCTGTCTCGTTTGCTCTTTCGGGTCCCGTTCGTCGGTTGTCTGCGTCTTCTCTCTTGCCTGCTCGTTGCCTTGGTCTCCGTTGCCCTCGGTGCCCGCCGTCTGCCCCCCTTCGGCCTCTTCTTCGTCTGTGCCGGCTCCCGCCTCGGTTTTGTTCTCCGTTTTTCTCCCCCTTCCCCCTGTGTTCCTGTGGGTTGCCTGTGCTTGCTCCGTGTTCTGTGTGCGTGCCCCCCCGCCTTGGTTGCGCTCCCTCGGGCTCTCCGGGCCGTCGGGTGGGGCTGCGCCCCCTCCCGGCTGTTCCCCCGGCTGGTCGCAAGCCCGGTCCCGGTCTCATCTTTCTCTCGGCCTCGTTCCCCTCTCCGGGCCGTCGCTGGGCTGCGCCCCCTCCCGGCTGTTCCCCCGGCTGGTCCCGCCCGGTCCGGTCTCTCCCTTCTTCGGCCCCGGTCCCCTCTCCGGGCCGTTGCCTGGGTTGCGCCCCCTCCACCCTGTTCCCCCGGCTGGTCACGCCCGGTCCGCGTCTCTCCTCTTCTCTCGCCCTGCCGGTTCCTCGTCCGTTGCGCTCGGCTCCTCCGTCCTGTGCGCCGGGGCCGGGTGCTGCGGGGCCGTGTCCGCGCTCTCTGCGCTGCCCCTCCTGTCTGGGCCTGCGCTTGGTCCTGTGGCGCCCCCCCCGTGTGCTCTGTGCTGCGCTCTGGCTGCGTTGTGTTCTGCGTCTCTGGGGGCTGTGCCTCTGGCTTTCTGCTCGGGGCTTGTTTCTGTTGGGTTCTGCTTCTTCCTTGTGCTCCGCTTTCTCTGTCTTGCCTGTTGTGGCTTGTCTCCGCTGTTCTCCCTGTTGCTTGTGTCTCGCCTTCTCTGTCGCGTCCTTCCCGTTTTCCCCGCTCGCGTCTCGTCGGCTCTCTCTTCCTGCTTCCCCCTGGTTTTTCGTCTCTCTCTCTCTCTCTCTCTCTGTCTTGTCTTTCCCCGCGTTGGCGTGGGTTCCCCGCCTCTCTCGCTGCCCCGCTCTCTTTGGCTTTCCGGCCCCGCCGCGTCGTCCCTGGCGCGCGCTCGCCCTTGGCCTCGCTTCGCTCGTTTTTCCCTTTCGGCCTGCGTGCCCTGCTTTCGTCTTGCTCCTCTTTGCGGCTCTTCGTTCGTTCGCCTGTGCCCCTGCGTTCTCTCGCTCCGGTGTGGCCTCGCCCCCCTCGGCCCCGCCCTCCTGCTCAGTCTTCTGTTATTATGGGCTTCACTGCGCTATTCCCCTTTCGGTTCTCCGTTTTTCCCTATGCCTGCCCTCTGGGGTGTTCGCCGGCCGCCTCGGCTGTTCGACTCTCCGCCCCCGCCCCCTCCGTACCTTCGCATCCGCCTGTGGCCATCTCACTAGCCTGCCCGGCGCGGTCCTCCTCTTTGGCCCGCTTGTGCCGCGGTATGCCCTCGGGGGATCGCTCGGTGTACATCCCTGCATTCCCGCATCCCCTTACATTCACCGCGCGGTTTTCGCCTCCTGCTTCTTGGTGCAGCTCCCGTCTCCCTTCTCGCGAGCTTTGTATTCCCTTGCCCGCCCTCGGCCGTCCGTCCGATTGCCCCCCCTGGCCCTTTTCCCCCATCTTTCTGCGTCGCCTATCGCACTCCCTCCTCGCTCTCCTTCCTGTCGCGTCCACTCGCCCCGCCCCTCTGTACCCCCCTCGCTCTTGCGCCATTAGTCCCCTGCCTCCCGTGGCATCTTGCCCCCGCCCTGTTTGTCCCTACCTTCCTTCGCTTCTCCCGCTGACTGTCCCTGCGCTCCTTGCGAGATCTTTCACCCCCGTGTTTACTGGCCATTTCCTCCCCCTTTCCTTCTTTCCTTCTTTCACTTCCTGCCTTTCCACCTGCTTTCCTTTGCATGTTCGACCCTCACCTTTCCTTCCTTCCCGTAGGTCCCGCACCGAGCTCAGTGGCCGCACTATGCCTCCCCCGCGTCCTCTGGCCCGACCTTCGCCCTCCACGCCCCGTCTCCGGCCTTATCAGCTCTTCCGCTCTTGGTTCGGCCTTCTACTTCCTCTTCCTTCACTCTGGTCCCCCTAGACCCTTGGCCCCATTCTCCCTCCCCCCCGTCCGCTTCGTCCTGCTCACGGCCTCGCCTTCGCTGCCGCCGGCCCTCCCGCCCCCCTTCCGACCGCCCTCCTTCGGGCCTCCTACTCTCTCTCTCTCGATCTCTCCTCTCTCTCTCTCTCTCATCTCTCTCTCTCGCCGTCCCCCACGCCCCTACCGCTCTCCCCCCCCCGCCTTCCACCCGGCGCTACCCCCCCCCCGCCTTCGGACGCTGCCCCCCGGCTGGCCCGATCTTTCGGGCCCCCCTTCGCGGACCCCGGCCATGACTTCCTTTACGGCTCCGCGTCCCCCCTGTCTTCCCCCCTCTTATTCTTTGGCCTCTCCTCTCACCCTTGCTTCTCCCATGCCTCTCCTGCGTGTCTTGCTCCCTGCGTATCTGTGCTCTTGCTGCTCTGCTGCTTGCTGCTGCTCGGCCGTTTTTGCTGCTTCTGGTGCTGTTGCTCGCTCCCTCTTGCTGTCATTGCTGTTCCCGCGCTGCCGCTCTGCTGTCTGCTTATTTCCCTCATGCTTCGCAGCGCGCATCGGCGCCTCGTGCTTCCTCGTTCGTGGTCTTTCTTAGCCTCTTTGGGTGGGCCTTCGCGCTGTTCGGCGTGTTCCTTCATGCTTTCGCACGTCCTGCTCGGCTCTGTGCTCTTGCTTCTTGCTTTCTGCGTCCCTTCCTTGTCTCTCGTCGGTGTGCCTCCCTTGCGTTTCCGTGTCTCCGCCATGTATTCCGGTTCCCCCCGGCTCCGGGCCGGTTATCTTTGCTCCGCGTCCGATGGGGGCATCGGGCCCCACCGCGCCCTCGCTCGCCAGCGCGCGCTCCGGGCGTGCGCCGAGGCCGCAGGCCGGCGCCATGCCCGCCGGGCCAGCGGCGCTGACCGCTCCGTCGCCTCGCTCCGCAGGGTGGTCCTACCCCCCCGGTAGAGCAGCCACGACGCTGTTTTTCTTCCCCGCTCGGAGCTGGTGTTTCCATCCCTTTAGCTGCTTTCCACCCGCCGCCTTCGTGAGTGAATCCCGGCCGCCGCGAGCACTCCGTGCTTCTCCGTGCCATCGCCGTCTCGTTTGCCGTGTATATCGGGTCCCGCAGTTCGTCGGCATCCCCGCGTCTATGTGTCTCGGGCCTGCCTCGTTGCCTTGGTCTCGCCGTTGGCCCTCGGTGACGACGCGTCCGCCGCCGCTTCCAAGCTTCTCAGCTCGTACTAGTGGCAGACATGCCGCCGGCCTCCCGTGTTCCTTCTCCGCTTCTCGCCCTTTCGCCCCTGTGTCCTGGTGGGTTTGCACTGTGCCTGTGGCTCTGCTGTTTCTGTGTAGGGGGCGCTGCTCCCCCCTTTGTTGCGCTCCCCCTTGGTTCTTGCCCTGGCGCTGGCGGTTCCGCACGCTGCTAGCGTCCGCCCTATCCCGGCTCTTGGCTGGGCCGTTCGCCCCGTTATGGTTTGGGCGCGTCCCCATTTTTCGCACTGCCGGACGTGGTTCCTCTTCAACTGGCTAAGCGGTCCGCTGCTCCGAGTCTGGGCTGCGGTCCCCTTTTGGACTTTGGGCCACTCCCCCCTTCTGCGTGCTGTCCGCGCTCTCTTGCCGAGAGGTACCGTTGTCCGCGCTCTCTGCCGCTGCCACCTCCTGTCTGGGCCTAGCGCTTCGGTCGCTCTTGGCGCCCCCGCCGTGTGGGCTTAGCTGTGCTGCGCTGCCCTGACTGCTCATGCATGACGCATCACCGTGCCTGTGTGCCGTCGGCTCTCTGCTCGTCATGCTTTCTCGTGCTTGGTTCTCCATGATTTGCCATGTGCTTCTGCGCCTCTCTGTCGCGCTACTCTCCGGTTGCCCCTCGCAGTTCGCTCGGCTCTCTTCTTCCCTGCTATCCCCCTGAGTTTTCCCCTTCTCTTTCCGGCCTTCCGGCCCGCCGCTTCTTGCGCTGGCTTCCGGCCGGCGCTTCTTCGGCTTGCCCCCCCGCGCTCTATATGGACTTCCGGGCCCCGCCGCTCGCCCGGCCGGCCCGCTCGCGGCCCCCCGGCTTCGCTCGCTCGTTTCCTCATTCGGCCTGCGTGCCCTCCTGCTGTCCTGCTGTTGTTTCCGGCTCCTTCGCTCGTTTCGCACTGTGCCTCTGCGGTTCTCCAGCCGCTCCGCTGTGGCCTCCCGTCAACAGCCATGCTCATATGACTGTTTACGTCCTGCTCTGTTTGGGCTTTTCCTGCGCCTTTCTCCTATTCTTCTTTCTAGTTTTCCCCGTTTCGCCCCTCGCTGGGGTGTTCCGTGTCCGTACGTTCTCCAGCCCTGCCCTGCGCCTGTTTTTTTTGCGTCCCCTCGCGCGCTTTCGCCCCGTTTGATCGCCCTGCCTTTGGCTCCCCTGGCTGCTTCCCCCTTTCGGATTGTGCCCCGCCTCGCATTCTTGCTTGCCTGGTCCCTCTCGCCTGTCCCGCTGCTGTCTTTGCGCCCTCCCCTCCTGCCCTCCGTGTGCCCCCCGGTCTGCCTGCGCTTCTGCTCGTCCGCTTCTGCTTGCTTCCCCTCTACGGCGCCCCGTGGCCCTGTTCCGTCCATCGTCCCCCTCGCCTTTTCTCTGCGTCTCCCCGCTTGCGGCCCGTCGTACAGCGCTTTCTTTCTTGGCCATGTTCCTTGCTTGCCTACCGTTTTGTTTGTTGCCACCTCACCCTTTGTTCGCATTCATCTTTCCCTGTCCGGAATCTTGGCCCCGGTCCGCCTCCCTGCTTCTTTCTCCCTGCTGATCGGTTCCTCTTGGCCTTGCCTTCCCCTCAGTCCTCCTTGTTCCTGCTTCCTTCCCTTTTGGTTCTCTTTTTGCGGTGTCCCCGGCGCCCCCCGCTCTTTTTCTACCGCTTCCTTCTCCTCTGCTTCATGGTGCGCCTTCGCCCGTTCGCTGCCCCCATTGCTGTGTCTGCTGGCTGCTTTTTCTCGCGTTCTGTGAGGCTTGTCTTTGTCCTCTCCTCCCAGCGAGACACCTTTGTCTATTAGTCCTGGCTTTCCCAGCCTCCTATTTCTTCGCTGCCTTTATGTGTTGGTACCGGTGCCTGTTTGTTGGTCTCCTCACGCTTTTAGGTGGCCCCCCGCCGCGCCTCTGCCTCGCGCGTGCCGTCCTCGCTGCTTTCTTTGCCTTCTTTGGGGCTTGTCCTCCCTCCCCCCTTTCCTGGCCCTCCCCGCCTGTCTGCCGTTTTTTGTTGTCGCCGCCCCATCAGGCTCGCCCTGTTTGGTGCGTCATCCCGCCTCTTCGCGTCCTCGCCCTTTTTGGGTATCGCCCTTTCCACTCTTTTGTATCCCGCTCCCTCGCCCATCGCCTTTGGTTCGGCCCCCCGCTCCCCGTCTTCGCCGTTTGGCATTTTTCGGCCTTTGCCTATGCATCCTCTGCGTGTCTGCAGCGGTCCCAGGGTCTGCGCTCGCTCTCTTCCCTGTCTGCTCGGCCCTGTTGTCCTGCTTCCGGCCTCGCCCGCTTTTCCCTGTCGCGCCCTCCGGTCTCGCATCCGATCGCGTCACGCACCGCCGCGATCGCGCGCCTGCCGGCTCCCTTAGCGCTGTCTTGCACCTCGCTTCCCGGGAGCCGTCGCTCCCCTTGACCTGCCCGCCCGCCGCGCAGGTGGCGTTGCCTCCCCTGCCCCTTCCCCTTTCCCGGCCCCCTGGTTTTGCTTGGCCCATCCCCTCCCCGGGCGGCCTTCCTTTCTCCCTCCTTACGGAGGCCCTTTTACTCCCGTTCACTCACGCCCCTTCTGCTTTCGTGCACGCAGCGTTTC